TTGTTCCAACTGGGTGATTTCTGCTATTTTGTCTTCTAAATCACTGATCCGATCCTCTGCTTCATCTAATCTACTGGTGATTCCTTCGAATGTGTTCTTCATGTCAGTTATTGTATTCTTTAGTTCTAACTGGTTGTTTTTATGATTTCTCTATCCTTCTTTATGGCCTAAGTTCCTTAAACATTCTTATCATCAGTTCTAAACTCTGTCTCTGAAAGTTGGATACCTCTGTTTCATTTAGTTCCATTTCTAGAGGTTTCTTCTGATATTTTACGTGGAACATGTTTCTTTGTTTCTTCATTCTGACTGTTGTTCTGTGATTGTTTTGATGTATTAGATATATCACCAGCAAGCGAGTCAGTTTGCCGGCTCCACTCGTTCTCCAGCTGCCCTCAGCCTCACCGAGTTGAGCAAAGAGAGTCCTCACTATTTTCTACTTCCACCTATTGTAGAACTCCTCTTCCCGGCAAAGTAACTCTGGGCTGGTGAGCTTGGTGTGGGGCCTGAGGGTCTCTCCCCCAACCGGAGAAGGCTCCCAACCACTGAGGTGTCCCTCACGGGGTTCGCCTTCTCTCATCTCCACCCCTCCTACCAGATTTGACATGGCCTCCTCTTTATGCCCTTTGTTTGGAGATTCTGTTCATCTAGTGTTCAGGGGACTTCCAAGGTTGAATATTTTATAAATTATTTGTAATTTTGGTGTGATCCTGGGAGGCAGTTGGCACAGGGTCTGTCTATTCTGCCATCTTCCCGGAAGTCCCACCTCCTACCAGTCTTCATGTGGCTTCTTCTTTATGTCCTTAGTTGTAAGACTTCAGCTAGACTTCAGGCAATTTTCAATGATGGTTGTTCTGTATTTTGGTTGTAATTTTGATGTGGCCATGAGAGGAGGTAAGCACAGTGCTTACCTACTCTGCCATCTTGACTGGAAATACAGTATTTCAGCTTTTAATCTTCAACTACTCCATAATAATGGCTAAAGGATATCTTTTATAATACTGGTTAAGGAATATCATGTTTTTATAAAAAGGCTCCTATTTTACTAAAGATGGGATCTAGGAGGAACTTGAAGGATCATTACAATAAGCCCAACTTAAACCCTGAACATCAGTATTGTTAACTGGACTATTGTCTGTTTCCTCTGAACAAATTTCTGACTTTTGTGTTCCTTTTCAAGGGCTTCTAGGATCAGGAGACATTTTGCACTCGACAGTTAAAACACTCAAAATGCTAGAGCCAGCCAGAAGCAAGGTTGAGTCAAGGACCCTGTCTCAGCATGGAGGAGGTCAGGAGGTGAGTGGAGCAGACAGGAGAATCAGAATTGTGAAGAAGAACAAAAGACGAGGGGTCAGAAGGACCACAAGAAAACCACATGAGAGGAGGTTTGAGCCATCAAATTTAACTCTAGCAGACCAAGTTTTGTTGGCCTGGAGTTCCTTAGAGAATGAGAAGTGAGCCTTCTGGAGCACACTTCTGCAGTTCAAAAACAAAAAAAATGAAAACAAAGCTCTTTTTATTTTAGAAAATTCCAAACTCATACAAAAATAGAGAGAACCTCCCAGTATAATGAATCTCCCATTACTTCAACAATTATCAACATTTTTCTATAATTTTTTCATCTGTCTCCAACCACACACCCACCCTCACCCTCCCACCTCCTGCCCCCCTTTTTGTTTTCCTGGAGTATTTTAAAGCTAACCTAGTCATCATGTTAATTCATTCATAAATACTTTTCGATATGTGTTGCTAACAGATAAGGGCTATTAAAAACACAATGATACCACTTTCACATCTATTAAGATTAATAATTTCTTAATATTATCTAACACTCAGACTGTATTCAGTTTTATGCTATTATCTCATAAATATCTTTTTATAATGTGTTTGTTCAAATCAAGATCTACACAGGTTTCACACACTGCAGTTGGTTGATTTGTCTCTGAAGTCTCTAACCTCTTTTAGTCTATAACAGCTGTTCCTCTTCTCTCCCTCCCTTTTCTCATGCCCATTTTTTATTGATTAGAATTTTTCATATTCTGGATTTGTTCTCATGGTGCCATTTAATGTTTCTTTATCCACCGTCAACTGGTAATTATGCCTAGAAGCTTCTTTTCAGATCCAGCTGTTTTGGTGAGAATACTTCATAGATGATGCTGTGTGAGTCCTGCATCACTTCAAGGGACACAGGTCTGTTTGTCTCACTTCTCGTAGGGTTGTGATTGATCAATGGGCTCAGGTGTTTGCCAGTCTGACCCATTCATTAGAAGTTCCCTATCAGTCTTGAACTTAAAGATTTAGCAGCCATTATATTTGCCTAGATTCCTTATTTTATTCAGGGATGCAAAATATAATTTTCTAAATGTATCTTATCTTCTGTTTTTAATAACTTACATTCTTCAATAAAGAGCTCTCCCTCATCAATTATTTGCTTTCTCTGAGGTACACAGTTTGTACAAGAAAGACTGCAGCACATTTTAAAGAGTGTGTCTGACACACTTCCATTTGTGTCCTTTTCCTCAGTCCAGCTTCCCAGTGTTGGAAGACTCAGGTCCACTCTCATCATCTTTTATGCCTGAAGCATAGAAGCTGCTAATGAATGACAGAACTCATTAAGTGCTTTCATCTAACCCTATGCTCAGATTTAGATGGGCCCAACTCCCATCCTCTTCACAAAGTCTTCCATGATTCTCCCACTTGTTTGTCATCTGTTCCTCTGAACTCCAGTCATTTGACAAACATCTCTCTTCCTTTACTCCTTGTAAGTAGTTATTTATATATTGTCTTCTTTTCTAAGTTCTTTAAAAGCAGGGACTATGTTTAATTTAGCTTTCTATTTCCATAATGACTAGCATTTCTTAACACTTCGTGGGAAGTCAATAATTACTTATTTAGTGAAAAAAAATGAATGAATTAGTAAAGAAGAAAACTTTAAACCCTCATAGCAATGGACTTTTCCTTCTTTTAAAGATAAATGGGTATGTATAAATTTAGTACAAAATGCTGAGTTTTAATAGTTTAGAAATATGATAGACTTCTTTAATTAACTGCTATTAAAAATAATGTTAATTAATCACCTTTTCATTAAAGTGGGATCCAATTGGATTAAAACTCTGTAACTATCTAGATACCAGATCATATTTTTATTTTCTTCTAACATACTTTTCATGTTTCATCTGCCTTAATTTTTTCCAGCTTTATTGAGACATAATTGACATATAACATTGTATGAGTTTAAGGTGTACAATGTGTTTATTTGATACACTTATATCCTGTAAAATGATTACCACCATTGTATTAGCTAACACCTCCAGAAGTCACATAATGACCGTTTCTTTTCTGCGCTGATGCCTTTATCTTTAGATGCCATCTAAAGTAAACGATGAGTGCTTTTTCCCAAAGCACCCCTTTATCATGGTTGTTGTAAACAGCTACTGCTATAAGAATGGTGGTAGCAAATGCAACAATATAAATATGCTTCCTTCACTATGAAAAATTGCACACATTTGTTGATTTCTACATTTTGAAAGAAATTAATCTGATTAGCTTAAACAGAAATCAGATGGGATAATATGTAAAATTTGAAAACCTGAAAATGCAAACTTCAATTCTATACTTTGTGGGTGAATAATACTGCCACAATGCCAGCGTGTGACCATTTTAATGAGAAAATTTTTCACAGGCTGATAATTTCTTAAACGTGTTAATAAAATGGTGTTATGTATAAAAATGATAGCAAAGCAACAAAAAGTCTTTCTTACCAAGAAATCAAGCTTTTCATTTAGACTATGGTACTTATCCAGTTTGGCTCCCAATAAGAGTAGTACATCTCTGACATTTTTTACTTCATTTGAATCCAAGTCTGTAACCTAAAAGTAAATATATTGGTGGTCACTTCTAATACTTTCACACTCCTTAGAACATTTGACAATAAATACTTTATTAGTTAAACAGTCAAAGAGATAGTCAGTGGCTAGAATAACAGAATTATAGAACTTAGAGCTAAAATGATTTAAACAAATTTACCAAAAGAATATAAATTTTTGAAATTGTATTTTTGTAAGTTAAAGACAGTACATAGTAGATGTTAAACTCACCTCAATAACCTGATCTTGAAATGCTTTTTCATTAGCAATTAACTCTTTAAACATTGTGATTCTGCCTTTATGTTTCAGTAGCTAAGAAGAAAGCATTCTATATTTCAGAGCAGGAGAGGAAATTAAACTATACCCTATAACATTTATAATAAAATAATTAAGCCATGCACAGTCCAGTAGCTGCTCTCCAAAGATCCACTGTTTTTACAGCTCGTCCAGAAAAAATTCACACAGCAGGTCTGAGGGTGCTCTCCTTAGACAGGCCTGCCAGCCAGGCTACCCCATGACTGGCATCTGGGAACTTGGATTGTGGGAAGGTTCCCATCATTCCCTGATAGGAATGGCTCCGTGTGCCTAACCTATTTGTATAAAGAATGCGGTTTATGCTGAACACCTCTTTCTATCTGGAGGGTCTGGAATTTTTGGCATGTGTTGCCTATGTGAACAGCCCTCAGTAAAAACCCTGAGCACTGGGTCTCAAATGGGCTTCCCTGATAGACAGCATTCCACACGTGTTGCCACAACTCACTTCTGTGGAAATACAGAGCATCCTGTGTGACTCCGCTGGGAGAGGACTATAGAAAGCCTGAGTCTGTTTCCTCCGGACTTTGCCCCATGCACCTCTTCCCTTTGCTGATTTTGCTGTGTGTCCTATCACTGTAATAATGCATCATAGCTGTGAGTACACTGTATGCTGAGTCCCTCGAGTCCTAGCGAATCACTGAACCTGAGGGTGGGCTGGGGATCTCCAGGGAGCTTATCCTAATCTAATATTCTATTGTTTTTACAGTCAGGCTATTAAAATTCTTCTTTAAAGAAAAAAAAAACTAGCCAACTTTTTCTAGATGCAATTTATAATCATTTCTTATTTGTTCATTGTTCCTTCATCATACTCCAAATATCAGTAAGGTAAAGTGTGCTGACAGAATATTTTTTATTATGAACAATTTCAAATATTAAAAAAAAGAGAACAAACTTTAACAAATCCTATGTAACTATCATCCAGCTTCAACTATTAACAGCTAATGGCCAATCTTGTATCATTTATATCCCCAACCACTTCCTTCTACCTCCATCTGCCTTCACCACATCAAATCAGAGGTCATATAATTTTATCTGCCAATATTTTAGTAATTGCACAGAAATTTACCAGAAGAACATAAATGTCTGAAATTGTACTTTGGTAACATCCTGCTCCAATCCTCGATTGGGCTTATGTTTGAAGGCTGGTTTAAGAAGTGGAGGCCAGTAATTTCTGTGTATGTTTGTTTATTTCTTGATCCTTTTCTCTACAGGTTAGTTAGGAGACAAAGAGATTTCCCAGAAACCTGCAACAAATTTTCTATCCACTTCAGGTCAGAGAAGTAATTTCCTGATAGTACAGGACCAAATTTGTTATAATGATCCAAGATCCCAGATTTGAATATATTTCCATCCCTTTAGCCAGATAAATTTGTCACTTCTATATTCTCAGATTAAAAACTGAACAAGTTAACATACTGTTATCATCTTCCCTATTTAACTTACTCTCTTATTTTTATCGCTCAATCTCTGTAGCACTACACCAAGAAAAAAATAATTGAAGAAATTTCAGGAGCCTTGTCCTTTACCCTTGTGTCCTATATATCTATTATTCCAAGTGATAAAGTTTAAAATCACTATAGAAATGTCAAAATACACTATTCTTCAGGAATCAGGAATAACATGCAAAAGTGAAAAAATAATCATACCAATTCTTTGGTAGTTGAACGAAACTTTCTTATACAGACTTACATTATAAAATAAGTCAAATGTTGAACAATATATCTCCTTAGTGAGGGCTATAGTAAAGCTAATCTGGTCCACAAAAACAATTCTTTTAAAAAAATCCAAATTTTAGGAGTTTCCTTATACTTCCATATTACCTTTGACTACTTTTTTCACTAAAATTGATACAATTTTTAGAATGCAGAATACATATAGTACCTCTTCATCTAAATTTTTCCTTTTACGATAGAAGCTCTTCAACTTTTGAAGCATTGCATCACTCACTTTCTCACTCTCTTTGAAATGTTCAGCATCAGGATTGTTGGTACCCTAAGGATAACAGTTTGAGAAGCTGGATTAAAATTTTTTCAGTACAGCTAAAAGGAGAAAGGACAAAACACAAATGAAACAAATCTGCCTCTCAAAAGAAGTTACCAAACCAAAGGAGGTAAAATAATATCGAACCCAATTCTTCAATTATTCATTACAAGACATCCACTAAAGGGTTAGTGTGGAAAGAATTCACATAGATTTTTTTTAAAAGATTTTATTGGGGAATTGGGGAAGGGGAACAGCCAAGTTGTTGTCCTTCAATCTTAGTTGTGGGGGCTGCAGCTAGCTCAGCTCCAAGTCCAGTTGCCATCTGGCCACCCGTCAGCAGTTCGCGCAGCTCAGCTCAAAGTGCCGTGTTCAATCTTAGTTGTGGGAGTCGAACTGGCAACCTTATTGTTAGGAACATGTGCTCTCACCAGCTGAGCCCTGTTGGCAGCTCGGTGGCAGCTCAGTTTGGGCGCAGCTCACTGGCCCATGTGGGCATCGAACCGGTGACCCTGTTTCTCAGACCTCGCGCTCTTAACCAACTGAGCCACTCAGCCAGCCCCGCATATAGATTTAACTTGTATGTAATTGTTATTGGGACAGATTAGTGTAATCACTGGGAGGTTAATACACATCTCTAATAACCATACACGCTCACGGATTCATACGCGCATCCCCTCTTAGCCTAGTGGTTGAAGAATTTAAATTTTAGACAACATGTTGTACTGACACTAAAACAATCAGACATCCTTAACAATACTGACACTCTAGGTATTTTCAGGCTACCCAGAATGAAGGTAGTTGTACCAATATAATCGAAGGGTCACAAGTGCATGCATTGGAGTCAGACTGCTTGGGTTTGTATCTAAGTTCTGCCATTTAACCATAAGTGAGACTTTGGACAAGAAACTCAACTATTCTAAGCCTTGGTTTGTTTTTTCATGTTAAAAAAGGCTGCTTAAAACATAACAAGAATATCCTGTAAAACAAACAAACAAAAAGAGAATTAAGTGTGGAAAAACTAAGGGGGACAGAAAAACGGAAATTCTACGCTACACCATTTCTTCAAACTACATCATGATCAGACTAAGCTACATAGGGGCAAGGAAGCTTTTCCTTCTTACCATTGTGTCCTTGGCACTCAGTACATAGGTGCTCAATATATTTATTAAATAAACTTGTACACTAAGGTAAAAAAAAAAACAAAAGGAACCAGTGCCTTGACCCCAAAGCCACTGACTCAACACCTCTTTATCCTGCCATCTATTGGGTTGTCGGAAAATTCATGACATATTTTGTCTGTGTTTTTCAAAGGTCATTTATTTATATAAAGCACAAAGCTCAATCAATGATATATTGCCCATTTTGTTCGATAACCTTTTGCCATTTTTCAGTGAGCTTCATAATTTCTCATTCATAGAAGGACCTGTCTTTATTTGCGAAAAACTGAACAAGGTGCTGATTTACAGCCTCATCTGAATTGAACGTTATACCACACAAGGAGTTTTGAAGAGAGAGAAATAAATGGAAGTCTGACAGTGCAAAATCAGGTGAGTATGGTGGATGTGGCAACACATCCCACCCAAGCTCCAATAATTTTTGATGGGTAATCAAACTTGTGTGGTCTCGCGTTGTCGTGATGGAACAAAACTCCTTTATGATTAACCAGCTCTGGATGTTTCTGGATGATGGATTAATTCAAACTGTCCAGTTGCCAACAGTACACATTGGAATTGATTGTTTGGTTCCTTGGTAGGAGCTCCAAAAACACAACACCTTTAAAATCCCACCACACTGAGAGCATAAGCTTCCTCTGATGAATGTTTACTTTCGATGTCGTTTGAGACTTATCATCACGTCGGGACCAAGACAGTTTGCACACCACATTGTTGTAAACAGTCCACTTCTCATTACCAGTTATCAGTCGCTTCAAAAAAGGATCGTTTTCCTCACGTTTAATAAGCATATTGCAGATGTTTATACGCACTGTCAAATGAACTTTGAGTTCATGCGGAACCCAAATATCGAGCTTGCTTACATATCTCAGCTTCTTCAGGTGGTCATGAACGCTTGAATGATGGATGTTCAATGTTTCTGCAATCTCTCGTGTCGTGTAATGTGGGTTTGACTCGATCAATGCCTTTATTTTGTCATCATCAACCTCAGTAGGCCTCCCTGACCGAGGAGCATCGTTGAGATCAAAATCACCAGCACGGAATCTCATGAACCATCATTGGCACTGACGTTCTTGTAGAGCATTGTCACCATAAACTTTATGCAACTTTTCACAAGCTTGATGCGTGTTCTTCCCTTTATGGAAGTAAAACAGTAAAACATGGCAAAAATGCACAGTTTGGTCTGTCATCTTCAACTTGTTATAAAATCTCCAAAACTCAACCAAATCGCTCAATTTCTTTTGAGAATGAAGCTAGAACTGTCAGCTGTCAAATGACATAGCAATAACATAGATGTGAATGACTCTAGTACTTCCAAAAATGAACTCGTGCCATCTGTTGCAAACATGCATCATGACTTTTCCGACGACCCAATATAACCCTTTTCTCCCTTGCTTTCTTTACTTCTCATGTCAGTTATACTTTTCATTCTTTCCACCCCACTCTCTCAAGGGGCCATACAATTAAATAAAATTATGTCTCCGTTATGTGCTCTATTTATACAATAAAGATTTTAAACTTAATTCTTAAACAAACAAAAAAAAATCAAAGGTTGATAATACAAATGGTATAAGAAATAATCCATGAAAAGCAAGAAGAGTAAACTTAAGTGGCTCCAAGAACAGGTTGGGAAGTTAGCAAATAGTTGTTGAGTGACTGTTAGGGGCTCAACCTGTGTTAGGTACAGCGTATACAAAAGACCAAGTCTGTCATCTTGAAGGCTTACATTTTACTGCTGTGGGAGACACACAATAAGCAAACATAATATTTGTTTGGCATGGGATAAGATCTACTAAGAAGATCTATGTACCCCATCAGGGAGAGGCCTGGTAGAAAAGCAGCAATGAGCAAATAAGATTGAGAACAGCAGCCTCCAGCGAGATGGGAGAAAACTAAGCAAATTTGGTGAGTAAGCAAATGTTTGAGGGGCAAGGTTGGGCGAAAAGGTTTGCAGCAGAGTCTGTGCCACATTCAAATTCCAATACTTAAAAACAAAACTTTAAGCGGATATAGTCTGTGGGCCACCACTTTGTGATCTCTGCATAAAACACTTAGCTCAGTTTTTAGTATTCAATAATGCTAGTTTTCAACAAATTTTGGCTAAAACAAAGTAGAAATAAGGTTTGTGTTCCTTCAGGAACATCTCAAACCCATACCCCCAAACTTTGGCTCAGATGAATACTCTTAAGAGCAAAGAAATGTACAATAATAGAAGGACAATGAAAGAGAGAGCTAGTTAATTTGAGAAACTATCAACTGTCCCATTCTTTAATATGTTCTCTCATTAAATGTAGTGCTTATAACTCCCAGAGCAACAGCAAGTATTATTTTCCCTATTTAAGATGAGGAAACTAAGGCTGATAAAGGTAAAGGTACATGGCCAAGTCACACAACCGGGAAGTGGCAAAGCCAGGATTTGAACTCACATGACACTAAATTTATTTTTTATTCTACTAATGTACACAACTCCACACTGAGCTCCCCTGCCCAAAGGGTGTATCTTAGGTTGGGTAAGCAGCTCATTAATGTCAACAATCACTAATCAGCAGGAGCAGACTGAACCAGAATACAAGTGCTCTGAGAGAGATTTCCTGAAACTTGGGTTTCAGGAAATGAAGGGTTTCTTTATTTTTTATCTTATTATGTTCCCTTACTGTATACTTGTGGAAATTATGTCTTGAAGAAAGATAAATAGAAAGAAGCAATAGAAGGAAGGAAAGGCTGACTGGTTTGACTGGTTGGTTCTTTAAGGGTTTCTATTTTTTGTCTTCCTTTTTTTTCTTCTACAGCTTAATTCTGTCACTTTACATTGCCTCTTTTGGTTTAATCCAACCTCAGTCTTCTTCCCCCCCCAATAAAAAATATGATTTAAAAAATTTTTTATTACCTGGCACGTGAGAAGTCCTACCCTCAGAGCCAGCAGATTGTGGATGTTGGAGGCCAGCTGAGAATTTCTTTTCACATTCGGGGGAGTCAGGCTCTCTTCTTCACAAGGTGAGCAATTCAGGAACAAGTTAGAATGTATCATCTTTGCATCCTATGTGTATACAATTCAGATTTGTCACAATAAAGACAAAGAATCTGGATTACTTTTTAAGTCAAATGCTGGATAAAATACCATTCTTAAAAATGCTGAACAGTGATTTGCAAACTTTTTGATTCCCAGGACCCCTTCATAACTCTTAAAAATTATTGAGGATCTCAACAACCTTTGTTTATGTAGGTTATATCTATCAATGTCTATTGTATTAAAAATTACAACTGAGAACATTTAAAAATATTTGTTTACTAATTCATTTAAATAACAATAAATCTATTATGTGTCAATATAAATAACAATTTAATTGAAAAATTACCACATTTCCCAAACAAAAAAATTAATAAAAAGAGTGGCACTGTTTACATTTTTTGCAAATATTTTTTGCTGGCTCAATAGAAGGTAGCTGGATTCTCATATTTGCTTCACACATTGTATTAGCCATAAAAACAATTACACCATCACATGTCATATAGTTTCTGGAAAACTCCACTGTATACTTGTGAAAGAATGAGAGTGAAAAATACAATAACGTCCTCATATTACTATGAAAATACTTTTGACCTCACAGATACTCCCAGACAACACTTTAAAAAAATGGGCCTATAGGTAATGAAAAGCAAAACCACAAGCAGGGGAAGAATGATTTGGGGATATTAAAGAAATTGATCAGTCAAGATAGAACAAAGAACTTTACTGTTTGTTTTAAAGAAAGCTCAAGAAAAATATTACACACTGTCATAAACTTCTGTACAGCTACACTAATTCATTCAGAGTTTACCAACTCAAAATTTGTCATGATTTGGTTAGCAGCTCAATTTGCTTAGGTTAGTGGTTCTCAAAGTGTAATCCCTGGACCAGCAGCATCAGTGAGACCAAAGAGCTTGTCAGAAATGTCCATTCTCAGGCCCCACCGCACACCTACGGAATCAGAAACTCTGGGGTGGGCCCCAACAATCTGCATTTTCATAGCTGAATGAATGCTAAGGTTTGAGAACCACTGGCTTAGATAACCCTTCCTTCACTCTGGGGTAAAAGATCACAGAGAAAAAATTTTAAACATAGAGAATACTATTTTCCTAAGAATCATTAAAAAAATAGAATTATTTACTTGCCAACAATACTTACATGTATCAATTACAGATTCATGAAAAAGTCCACTAAGGACATTTTCAAGGCAACGTGTCAGCTCAGTTCAAATTAACATGACAAATATAACCGTAAATTTATACAGTTTTCTAGCTCAGATTAGCCTTCTTTCTAAATAGAGTTAATAAGATTGTACCATAAGTATTTTAAGGCAGACGTATAGCTGAAATAGATGTGTCCTGGCTAGTGAAAATTATCACTTCCAGGTTGTTTGCCAAAAAAGCCATCTGAACTACAGAGAATACCAAATTCCAGCCTTTCCAAAAATATTGATATGAGGCTCTCATGCTGTTTTTAACCTGTGTTAACTAGACTTACTGTGGTGATCATTTTGCAATGTATACAAATATCGAATCATTATGTTGTACACCTGAAACTAATATAATGTTTTATATCAATTTTATCTCAATGTCTGTAATTTTACAAATTATTATGTGATATGTTTGTTTTACCTTGTAAACCAAATATGCAATTTTATTGTTCACTTTTATCATTGAATAGGCAGACGTGATGTGAAAAGATTGAGATCTCCACTTAGAAAAATCCTTTCTCAAAGGATGCTTCAGATGATTGGTCAGGGGTACCCACAAAATTCCCCTGCTAATTTTCACCTCTACTAAAATAATCACAAGGGGCCAGAAATGGCTGTTCTTCAATGTAAGTACCCAAGATCCAAAGAATCTTCTCCACACCTATGGTGCATTTTTCATTTTATCTTTCTTTTTTGGTTTCTAATTCTTTCTGCAAACAAATTTGTATAAGCGCTATGCCTAAATATGCACCACTGGCCTGTTAGAAGCTCCTGAAATTCTGCATTAGAGACTGAATTTGTAACAATACCTTTGTGACAGCTGACTCCATTACTTCCTCTAAGTGCTCCTTTAACTGAGCTATCTCAAATTTAGGGACATAATTTTGCTCCTCACTCCTTGCAACCTGCTGCTGAAGTTTTGCATTTTCATTCTTTACTTCGTTGATCTGCTGCTGAAGTTTTGTATTTTTAGCTCTTTCACTTTCAGATATGAATTGCAAATTTTCAACTTGCGCTACCAATTGCTCAAGTCTAGATTTCAGTTTCTGTCTTTCCTCCATGTTTTCATTTTCACGTTTCTGAAATTCTTCCTGTAAAGACCGGAACTCTTGTTCTTGGGCTTGTTTTTCCCTTTTCAACAAGTTCAAAGCAGAAGTGTTGGCTTTTTCCAGTTCTCTTTGGAGTTGCTGCAGCTTCTCTACCTCTTCTTCTTTCTTGCTCAAGGCTTTGCCCATCTCTATGCACTGACTGACAGCTGTATTTTTTTCTTGCATTTCAGTTATGAACCCTTCCTGTAAACAAACATAATTGCTCTTGATCCTCTTAAGCTCTACTTGTAAAGTCTCCTTTTCATTCCTAGATTTCTGAAGATGTTTTTGGGTGTTAGTTAAAGTGTCATGCAAATTCTGCAGTGTCTTGTCAGCATCACTCTTCTCTAGAATTACTCTGTATTTGTCTTCAATTAATGATTCGGCAGTCTCCTTTAGCTTATTTAGGATGTCAATGAACACTTGCGGTCTGGTAGGCTTCATCTGTAGTTCTTCAACCTTCTTCTTTAAATACATGTTACTGCACTGCAGGTTTTGGATCAGAGTTTGCTGCATTTTGTTAGCACGTTTTAATTTCCATAAGACTTCATTTAAAGCCATATTCTCTTCCGGAGGTTGTAAGCTTTCCAAGCTTTGCTCTGTGTCAGGTGTCTTGCAGTCCTCCTGAGATGCTCTACCACTCGAAGGAATGTCTTCAGAAAAACAAGCTGAGGCAATGCCTGAACTCTCCACGCCCTCTACTGTGACTTCCATTTGATGACTGCTTGACATCTCCACAGAATTCTGTATTCCTTTTGAAGAAACTGTAATCTGTAAATTATAGTAAATAAGTATGAAAGAGTAGAATTATCCTGAACTTTGAAGTCAGAGCTGGCCAGATCCCTAGTTTGGGCTATAAAGTAACAACTATAATATCTATTTCCAATAATAATACCCACTTAACAAAAATACAAATACTTAAGTATTAATTGCTAAATGTATGTACAGCACCTTACAGCAGCACAGCAGAGCACAAACAACAGGCATATGATAAAAATATGTATTGTATCACATTTACTTTTAGAAAAGAAAAATTAAACTTTGATACTCTCACCATTTTCTATGATGCAAGCTTTTATGAACATATGTAAGACACTTCATCTGACTTCACATGAATTAAAACAAATTTATCAATTACCCTACAGCACGTGAGGCCTCTTCTGAATAATGATTTTTTTCCTATTCCTTCATTAAACCATCACCTCCCTGTGCTATGACTCCTGTGAATGTTAGAATGCCAGATGAACATGTCTTGTGGTTGAGATTGATTTGCTGCCCACAATACAGGTTTGGAGAGATATAAAAAAAAACAGTAAGTTGTAAGAAAAAAACACTGAAATAAACATGACATAAGAACCCAGTAAAAGATATCTGTGCAGGTGGTTGCATAACTTTCTAGAATTTAGATATTAGACCTCTGTATTTTAAAGTTTCTTCATACTTCTGGGGTAAAGACAACTATCCTTACTGAGGCCTATAAGGTCCTTATATCTGACCTTGACATCTGACCCCTGCTATCTCTTCATCCTCATCTACTACATCCTTCTTGCTCCCTCCAACCCAGCAACACTGGGCTTTGTTCAGGTGGGTGCCACAGGATTTTTGCACGTTACTTCTACATGGAATCTCTCCCATCCCGTTACCGAATTAACTCCTGTTATCTCTCAGAGCTTGGTTCAAGTCCCACTACATCAGGGAGCCTTCTCCAGGACAGTAAGACTCCCGTCTTACCTTTACTTCCAGCACTATCGTAACTGCAAGTTTATATGTAATTTTATATAACTTTATATACACTTTATGTGACTTTTATTCATAGCACTTACCACAGTTGAAAATTTACATTTATTTGTGTGATTATTTGTTTAATGTCTCTCTTTTCTAAGTGGATGCTATTTTCATGACAACAAAACCCACATCTTTTTGTTGTTTTTTTAACCATTACATAACCAACACATAACGCAGGGCCTAGCAAAAAGAAACAATCTTGGGAAATCCTACTTCAACAGATTTTTTAAATGTTATTTTCCAGAAATCAACAGGGAAATAAAGTTCTTTTAAATGCTGCTTCCAAATAAACAAACAAACAAACAAAATACTGGTCATACTTGCAAATGAAACAATAGTCATAGCTTTTCTCATCAAACTTATAATGAAAAGGTATTATTTATGCTTTTTAAAAATTATATCTATTTGCCCACTCCAATTCTTAAAATTGTTATGTTTTTGTTTACAGCACATAGAATTGATACCATTGGCATCAGTGTAATTAGGATACACTTTAATGTGTAATTACACATTCAGTGTAATTAGGATATTACATGCATGCCTAGAATCAATAAATCAAAAGACAAATTAACATTTTCAATTTGCTAAAAAAATTTTTTGCTTGTCAATAGAAATCCCACATGATAGAAAAATCTTAAACTTTCCTTGTCAAATAACTTAATACCTTGTATTTCATTCTCTTCATAAACTTTTTCTCAATGTAAATTCTGAGTTCCAACCAATTTGATTCACCAAATGTAAAAGCACATCATATATAGTCAAGGCACCATGCAGGTGGTAGGGTACATAAAAGCAGTAAGACAGAGCCCTGATCCTCAAAGAAATTATCATTTGGTAGAGCCAATTTCCAAGTATGGACTTGATTTTTTAAAGAAAAATTTGTTTCTAAATTGTTCATGATCTGGGAAGTTATTTTCCCCAGAGAAGCAATGTCCATTGTACTGACTAGATAATTTATCACTACTTGGGAAAGTCTTAAATTATATACTTTAAAAAAAACACAACCTTCAATACTCTACAGGTTGTACTGACCATCAAAAATCTTACCTCCTTTGTTTCATAATTAGCTCTCAGATCGAGCATGTTAAAATTTTTGTCTTCATAAAATGGTTTTTCAACATCATTGTGTACACATTCCTTACACAGGCAGCTATGAGGTTCACTAGAGTTGAGGACAGATTCCTTGGCAGTATTTTTAGCCAGTGACATTTCTGTGAATTACAGTGTGTCTCCACTGCAGCAGATTAGAGGCGGGCTTCTAGGAGGCTGCCTGACACATTCATAAGCAAGTCAGTCTTTGTTTGTGGAAGTGCTATTTCTCTCTGGATTTTCTTCCTTAAATGAATCTTCCTTTATATTGTTGTCTTTTGCATAATTATACACATGACTTTGCAATTCTGTCTTTTCTGTGTAAGGTAAGCCACCTGTCAGATTTTGAAATGTTATCATTTCATCATTAAATGCTTCTGTCCCATGAAATTTGAGAATGGGTTCAAATTGTCTGAAGGAAGAAATGCTGGTGTCAACTGGCTGAGTTAGCACATCCTGTGAGTAATTTCCATTGTTGGCATCTCATTAGAAAGAGAAAGATGGAAATAAGAATTAGCTGACCATAGATTTATATTAAGTTGTATTAACATTTATGAAATAAAATTTTTAAGCCTTTTAAAAATTATATACAAGTATATATTTCAACCTTTTGCATTGAGTAGATTTTGGCATGGCTTTGTGCTAGCAAACAAAACAAAATAACTTTTAATGTGGGGGAAAGAAGTTCTCAAATGACTGCTACAAAAGCATGTTATATATCATTCTGGTCAAGTACCATCACAACAAAGTCCAAGATATCTTCAAAATTCCTTTGGTGTACTGTAATTTTAAAATGTTTCAAAAGAATACAAAAGCACAGTGAATGGTATAATAGCAAATACACATAAAGTTGTTTGATCTCACAACAATTCCATAAGGTTGGTACTGTTATTATCTTTGTTTTACAGATAAGGAAATGAGACATGAGGTGTTAAATCACTTCCTAACGTCACAGAGCTGGTAAGATTCTAGAATACTACTTCTAAATGGTATGCTATATATAGTTTCTCAATATGTAAATTACCAGATTTAATACATTGTTTAAAATCAGAAGCAAATAAAGCAAAATAGAAATAGTGCTGCAAAATTAATGACCTCTCCCGTCAATCTAAATTCCTCCTTTCTCCCTCCCCAGAGATAACCACTATTACTGAAGCTGGTATGTATTTATTCTTCCCATTCATATTTTTCTACTTTTACTACTCATTTATGTACTCAAAATAATAGATATCGAGTTCCTAGACTTTCTCGTTCTGTGACTCCTTAATGGCTCAGTAATTTTTTCACAGAACCCCTAGATCAGAAGAAGTACCTAACAGTTCCAATTATTAAATAGTTAAGCTCCAACAACAAATTAACTGGTATTTGTCCTACCCACTTAATAACTGTTTCAAAATACACATAAACTGAAAGAAAAATATCACATCTTATTTCATTCTTAACTAAACTTACTACTTGAATGTACTGTTGGGCACTGCATGTCTCAAACCTTGGAGTCAGATTCAGCAAGACCAACCCTCACTTCCTGTTTCACCTTGGTTTTCAAGCAAAACTTGCTTTTTATCACAGCATCCTTCCAACCCCCTGCTTTGCAAATAAGATGTTATAGAAAGGATTGTAGTATGATTTTATATTGAAATAGTGAACTATCTCAAGCTAGTAGTTTGTGGGGTTCCAACAGATGTCCAGTACCATTGTTTTCTTCAAATTCCAAAATATCCTGCAGTACCCTGGGCAAATTGTGGATACACAGTATTGTTTTTTTGTTTTAAAATTTTATGTAAATAGCATCATTATGTATGTATGTGTGTGTGTGTATATATATATATATATATATATACACACATTTTATATATATCTCTCTCTATATATATACACATATATATATGTATATATCTGTATATTTATGTATGTATATATACCGGGATGCCAAAAAAATGTATACACATGACTTGTATTCATCTTTTGTTATCAGTATAGATTACAATTTTAATACAGTTTTTCCTTTCTTAAAATGTGTATACTTTTTGGCACCCTCTGTGTGTGTGTGTGTCTGTGTGTGTGTGTGTGTGTGTGTGTGTGTAATTTTACCTCCTTATTTGTTTAATCTATACACACAACATATATGAAAAGTTGGGCTAGACTCAGAGGAAGGAGAAATATCAATAACTTCAGATATGCAGAGACACCATCTCATTAGCAGAATGTAGCAATGATTTGAAATGACTTCTGATGAAAGTGAAAGTGCCAAAGAACTGCATTTGAACGTTGAGAAGACAAAAATCATGACTACAGATGAAATACGCAACTTTAGCCTTGACAATGAAGATGTCAGAATTGTTAAAGATTTTGCTTAGCTTGGTTCCGTCATCAGTTCAAATGGAGACTAAAGCCAAGAAATCAAAAGAAAGTTGAGTCTCATAGGGCAGCAATGGCATTGGGAAAGATCACAAGATCTTTCCAAGAGCAAAGATAGGTCATTAGATCATCCACACCCTCGTCATTCCCAATTTCTATGTACGAATGCAAAAGCTGGACATTAAAGAAGGCTGACAAGAAAAAAAAATTCATTCATTCAATATATGGTGTTGGAAGAGAGTTCTATGTGGACCTTGAACTGCCAGGAAGATGAACAAGTGGGCCCTAGAGCAAATTAGACCTGAAACATCACTGGAGGCAAAAATGATAAAACTGAAGCTGTCCCATTTGAAGTCAATCATGAGAAGGCAGGGTTCTTTGGAAAAGGCAAGAGTGCTGGGGAAAACAGAAGGCAGCAGGAAAAGAGGGAGAGCAAATACAAGACTGACTCCATAAAAGAAACCACAGGCATGAGCTGAGCAGGGCTGTGAAGACAGGACATTATGGGCATCACTCATTCATAGGATCACCAGGACTTGGAGCTGACTCAATGGCACATAATAACAATACATGTATCCATATAAAACAGTCTTTATTTCACTTAAAATTTTGCTTCTCATACTTAGGCATGTAAATACGTGCAGATCTAGTTCATTCTACTGAAGAATTACTTTATTATTATTTTTTGTTGGACATTTGTTTCTAATTTTGCTATTAAAAAGAACACTATAGTGAACATCCTTATACACATTTCCTTCAACACTAATATAAGAATGTTTAGCCCGCAGACCCATGACCCACTGACCCACAACCAACAAATCTACCAGGCTCTCGTGTGCGCCATGTCTGATTCCTCCAGCAGCACCGCTATGAAGAACAGCTCTGGCTGCTTCTCAGGCAGCTGCAGATTTGAAACAATTCTGTCTGCAGAACCTCAACATGACCCCCTGCCGACTGGAGTATCTTCAAGTACAAATCTTTTCAGACCCCAGAAAGTCTGTTCCTTTTTGTGGTGAAACTAATCTTTGGAGGTTTTCTAAACCACGTTTCATGAACCAGTGAATATTCTAAGGAGAGCTAAATCTGATGCCTGTACAAAAAGATTATCCCTATAACACATGCCATACTATAATCGAACTTCTGCTTTTGTCAGTCCTTAACATCAATCTCTCTGAATTTTCATGAATTTCTATTTCATAAGGGAATTATTTTATATACACTGGCAACAGCATACAATAAAATACTTAGTATAAGCTTTTTTTAAAGAGAATTTTTATCTAGGCTCTGGGTATATACCTAAAAGTGTAATTGCTGGATTATAGAAAATATACATCTTCAACTTTACTAGATATCGCAAAAGTACTCTCCAAAGTGACTATACCAATTTATACTTCTACCAGAAGCATAAGAGTTCTTTGCTCTACATCCCTCCAACACATCAAACAGGTATGTATGAAATGGCATTTTGTGGTCTTTTTAATGTACATCCTTTTAGGTATTTAATGGTCTTGGAGGCTTCCTTTTCTTTGATCTGCCTCTTAGATACTGTTACGGATTGAACTGTGTCTCCTCAAAATTCACATGTTGAAGACTTAACCCCCAGTACCTTGGAATGTTACTCTAGTTGGAGCTAGGGCCTTAAAGGGGGCAATTAAGGTTAGATGAGGTCATAAGGGTCAGCTCCAAATACAATATAACTGGTATCCTTACAGGAAGAAGAGACACCAGGGAGGCACAGAGAAAAGGCCATGTGAGGTCACAAGATGGCAGCCATGTGAGAGGCCTCAGGAGAAACCAACTCTGAGGGCACCTTGATCATGGACTTCCAGACTCAAAAACTGTGAGAATATAAATTTGAATTGTTGAAGCCATCCAGAGTATGGTATTTCTTTATGACAGCTCTAGCAAACTAATACATATATGTTGCCTGTTTTCCTATTGAGTTATATGTGTCTTTTTCTTATTGTAGTTCTTTATTTTGGATACTAATCCTTTTTCAATTGCACACATGACATATATCTTAGCTTGTGGCTTGTTTTTTTACTTTGTTGATTATAATTTGATCACAGAAGTTTTTTTCAATTTTATTTTAATATAGTCAAATGTGTTCATTATGGTTGTATTTCTTGTTACTCCAAGCCTCATTTTTTCATCTTTAAAATGGAGATAAAACAACCCTTGTTTACAAAGAAAAAAAAGCTCTATTTCATGGGATTATTTGTGGATTAAATGTAATAATGTATATAAAATGCTTAGCACAGCACTTGGCTATTATTATTACCATGATCACAAGATACAAAAACATCTTAGTTTCTCTGTCTGTATATTGCCAACAAAGAGATAGATACTCAACACCTAACAAATCACCTAGTGTGCTATACATTTCTTTGGAAAGTGTAAGTTTAGACTCATTTTCCCTTTTTGCATTCTTTATTTCATTCTGTATTAATGATCAAATGGGCATTAATATTAATATTTCAAACAAACATTATAAGCCTCTTCTAAAGGTGTATGTACATTTCTATGTAATTTTTGTTAGAATTTTTTTTTGCATGGGTAGAATGTACTTCCTACTATCTTTGCCTGCTGTATATTTTACTTTCCTTTTAGTAAGATCTAATAAAGCCACGATATTAAGTGAGAATTAAACAAGTATCTTGCTATTTTAATATTTTGGGTTTTTGGTAAGTCAAATTATGTTCCTATAAACATAGGAGTATATGATAACCTATAATATATATCTCTTACTGATAAGTCTTTGATGTTTGTTAAATATGCTCTATACAACATTAGGGTAGTTGTTATTCATCTTTTAACATTGAAGATACATGAAACAGGATTCTAGTAATGAGGTGAAATCTGATTCTCATAAATATAAATCTATAAAAATTCATGTAGGGTTTATTCTCAAAGTTACCTTCATGTTATTTAAGATGAAAGGGCTTATTAAGTAAATTAATAGTATAAATAAGAAAAATACTTTAAATGTTTAAGGAACACACTGGTTTAATCATGAGTAGTATATCAAATATGTGGACCTAAATGATGCTCTAAAAAAGTTCTTATCTTTTGTTAAAGTCAGCTGGCTACAAACCTCTATTCAATATGCTTTTTTATAGCATTGTTCCATTTATTGAATGTATCTGAAGTACAGTAAGAACTGAGTTATATTTTATAATATGTCTTTTAGACTTGTTGCTAATTCGGACCATTCCTCCTCCTAATTAGATTTTTAAAGTATCAAGAATAATAATATACTTGAAAAATAAAATAGCACCATTCACATGTATTGATGTTTAAACAGACTTCTTGGGATTCCATTACTCATCGAATTTCAGAGATCACTTCTAATTCTAGTCTTCTATAACATTACTACGTTTAAATGAAATATGTCTTTTGTTCCTCTGGTCTATAAATTTTTTATAAAGAAGGGTCAGTGCAATCCAAGAGGGAGGACCTCTTTACATAAATAATTTAAGATATTTCATTCAGTACATAGTATCTTGGGCCCTGATTAACATCGTAATACTAGGACCAAAATTTTTTTCAAAATGAAAGTAGTTTTTTATAATTATAAAAAAGAATCTAACGTTGCTTAAAAAAAGAAAGTAAAAACCATTAAAGTCCACTACATAGTGAGAAGCAATGTGACCATTTTTCCATGTCAACAAATACATATCTTTATCACATTTAAGGTTTACATATCCACTGTACATATATACAATAATTTAACTAGGCTCCCAGTGATGAAAATTTAGATTGTTTCCAATGTTTAGTTGTTATGGATTACTCTGCAAATATCTCATTTGTATACTTCCTAGAGGCAAAATTAAAAATAAAATGTGCAGTTAAGCTCTTGATTTCCTAGCATTAAACAGCCATTTAGAAAGGTTATGCCAATTTATGGGCTGAACTATATGAAATTGTCAATATTTGTCTGTTTTTGAACCACAAAAAGGCAATTTTATATGCCAAAACTAATAGATTCTTATTTCCCTACACTCTTGCTTAATAACTGTCAAATATGTAGAATAACATTCATGAAGACCCTGGGACATAAAAATCTATTTTGTGACAAACAGCATTAGGAATTTTCATGAAGACAGGAAGTCATTTACATGACACTGTAAATGTCATTATGAACATATGAATCATTTGCATGCTGACATAGTGGAAGATGCTCTAGACTAGATGTCAGGCTCCTTGGGTTCCTGTCCTGCCTCTGTGACTGAGTTGTTGTGGCCATGTCCCCTGGCTGTACTCATGGGACTTCATGAAGAGGTTAGGAAGGGTCGGTTTAAACATTCTTTGTAAAATTCTATCCTTCTTTGTATACTAATGGAGCTGGGAAAACCAGGCCTGTATTCCCCTCTTCTACGCTTCCATTGGAGATTCTTTCATTGTTCCTCATATTTTTGAAGAAATTTCATATGGAAGACAATGTGAATGCTAAATACATCTGTGTCTCCCAGAACTTTTAAGCACTGTATAACTGAGGCAGGTCTCAAGTAGTGCTGCTGGTTTCCATTTACAAGGGAGAATTTGAGTGAGTTACGTCTTGAGAATGCTGAAATTCATGGCAACTGCTTCTGACATGCTTTCTAATTTTTCATGAGAAGCATCCACTTCAAAATGTACAGTATCTGAAGTAATGACCAAACTTTTTGATAGTCCTTGCTTCTGTTGAATGATGGAAGGTCTCTTTAAAAAAACATAATTTTAATGTCTATTAGTATATTCAAACAGGAAGCTTTCCTCCGCATCCTTCCTCACATTAAGAAAGCAGCAAAATTCACTGTCCTAAATTTTAAAATGTCATTTTAAAGTTATTGGAAAAATAAAAACTTTTAGTCTGAACATACCATGGTAACTTTGTGTGGTAGTATACTAATTCAGACAAAAGCAAATCAATGTGTGGCAACTATCCAATAATTAACCTAAAAGATGTGGGTACCCAGGGGATGAAGGGATCCTAAGTCATTTAATAAAAAAATATTCACAAAATATTACCAGACACCTATTAGGTTCCATCAACCCTGTATTTCTATTTACTTGACAATCACTATTCAAAGATCTCATTATCAAGTCAAACCCAACAATGTAAATCAATTTTCCCTCACTTCCTTATGCCACATTCAGGCACTCAGGCTTCAATCCTTCTACCTCATTATCCATGGGCTATTCAGCAATCCTTCTACCTCATTATCCATGGGCTATTCAGTTACCAAGTCCTATCCACTTCTCTTTTAAAAATGTTTTCATAACTCATGCTTTCTTCCCATCCCTTATGTCAACATACTGGTCCATATTCTTGTGACTCCTCAGGTCTGTCACGGGGATAGGGGTGGAAAGGATGTCCAATCACACTGACTTCAAATTCTTCTGCTTGACTTTTTAGGTCTTCCATAGCCTAAACCCACATTACCTACCCAGCACTCCTGCTCTAGTAAGATCAGGCTCACTTTGCAAATAGGTCGCATGCGCCTTACCATGTCAATAGTCTGCCCTGGCAAGTGCTTCTCTCTCCTAAAACCTTACGACCTACCCATTCATGTATTTTTAAAAAAATTCCTACAAGGTCTTTAGTCTAAATCTCTATCTTACAATGCAGCACCTATTCATTTTACTGTTTTTGTTTTTAACCATTGTTTCAAGGATGTTAATGTTTGTATTTACCAATTATACATACTTCGAGGAGTCCACTTACGGTTTTTCAATACCCCCTACATCAAATGGACCAGTGTTGTCCACAGAGAAAATATTTACTAAATCCTGCATTCCAGTGATTTATTTCTATTAAACCATCTCAATATACAGTCACTACCCATTTGCCTGGATTATTTTATTGAATTATCAAATTAATAATTTGTTGAGCATTTATTTTTTCAAAATTATGTCATCCTTCGATCAAAGTATAAAAATGTCACTGAGCTAAAAAGGCTAGTCAGGATTGGAGAACGGCCCCTTTATTCTTACCTTCTCCGTTTTCCAAACACATAAATGCTGCCTGTGTTGTGGTGAAGGGGATCTGAACACTCCTTGTTTTATTTTCCAAATGCAAAAAACGCAGGGGCCTTATTTCTTCAATTTTTTTTTGTTTGTGAACCCAGAGCTTCCAATTACACCTTTACAATTTTGTGCATATGGCACAATCTGCCAATTAATTTATACATATTTTTAAGTTAGGCTTACTTTTTCTTTCATTCTGTCCTTACTAGATTTGTTAGATTTTTAAAATATTTATTGAAATGTTTCGAGAGATATTCCAGAGACACTCTAAAGCTGTTTTACGATGGGTCTTAAAAGAAGTGTCCCTGGAGTTACTGGCCCAAACGCTAAGGTTTTGTTTTTAAATTCTTTTCAGTTGTATGACAAAATTTAACTTTCTAAAAGCACTTAACTCATTTTCACCTGAAAACAATGCACCGAACTTTTTAAGTCGCAAAAGCGTGCTCACTTCCAGGGTCCATGCAGTTTCGTGGATCCACAGTAAGGATTTCGTGCTCCCTCCCCCCGCACTAGCCTTTGTGGGAGGGAGAATACTTTTCAACCTTTTCCACGGATGGCTTTTAAAAACGCGCAGTTAGGTTGCAAGCGCGCTGGAACGTCCCTATGTGACGTACGCCCGCCCGCGCCAGCCAATCTCGGCGGGGAAGAGCGCGCCGGCCTGGTTCCCAAGCCCCCCGCGGGCGGTCCTGGGGACTTCGAAGTCTCTCTTCCCCTAGTTGGGAAATTATGTGGGTGTGAACTCCCAGGCCAAACAACCTGTGGGCTGGCTGGCGCGTCCCTCTGTGGCAGGAATCACAAAGCGAGGAGTAGAAACTAAAAACTCCAGGTGGAACGGCCGGCACTGGCTCAGCGAGAACACTATCTCAAGTTCCCCTGACATTTTGATGTATCCCTTCCGCGCACCATTCGGCGCAAGCCCCCAGATCTCAGCCCAGCGCAGGGGCGTGATTTCCGGTCGGACATGCTTTCCGGTAGGGCGGGATTTCCGGTCGAGCGTGGGCCCGAATGCCAGGGCTATAGGTCCTAATTTGTAAAGCACGTGGCGTGCACTTTTGGCGTGAGGGTTTCTGAGTGGCTTGCGAGGCAGACTTGTGCGGAGAGGCTGTTAGGTCGGCCGCACGCAGAACTGTCTCTGTGCGGTTCCTGTCCCACCGCAGGGCGGGCGGCCTCCGGTGGCGCTGATCCTGCGCTCTCCGTTATGGACTACCGGCGGCTGCTGATGAGTCGGGTAGTCCCCGGGCAGTTCGACGACGCGGATTCCTCCGACAGGTAGACGGTGGTTGAGTATACCGACTTGGTTGGGATTTTGCTGTCTCCTCCCGCGCTGCTCCCTTCGGGAGTTAACACTTGTTTATGGTTTAGAGGGAGACTGGTAATTCGTCACTCGGGGCCTCTTTTTACAGCGTTTCGCGTGTTTCTCCTTCCCAGCCGTGACTTTCGTCCCAGTTTACGGCAGTTAATGACAGCCACTTATTAAGGGAGTCCAGGGACCCCAGGTTGATTGGTTAGCATCGCTGAGAGGCAGAGTTGGGAATAGCGATTGGGAAACAGGTTTTTGAGCTTTAACTACATTCAGCATTCAAAAAATATGTGAGCACCTAATGTGTGCCAGGTGCTATCCTCGGCGCTAGAGATAGTGATGAGCAAGACAAACTAAACTAAGCCCCTACTGTCATTGAATTTTACCTTCTACTTGGGAGGTTGGGCAGACAATTAAGTACATAGAGGTATTTTAAAAAGAAAAACTAGATGATACATACTTTGCAAATAATTAAAATCGGTTGATAGATTAAATTATGATTTGATCAGGGAGGGGTTAAGTCCATATCTGAACAAGAAAGAGCTAACCTGAGGAAGAGCAGAGAACAGCCATTCAGGAAGAGGGGACAGCAAGTGCAGAGTCCCAACAGCGGGATCCCTCTTGGCTGTAAAAGGAAGACCTAGAGGTAATTGTGCCTAGAGCACAGTAGAGGTACTTGAGAAAATTGGTGTGTAATCATATAGAAGTGAGAAGCGGCCATATCATGTAGAGCCTTACAGATGATGGTAAGGAGCTGAGATATTATTCTAGGTCTTATAGAAAGCCATAGGAGGGATTTTAGCAGGGGAATGAGATCTGATTTCTGACTTAAAGGAATTATTCTGTTATGGAGAGGATGGCTTTGGAGGGCAAGAGTGGAAGCAGTTCAAAAGTAATGAAGTAATTCAAAATTCAGCTCAAAGATGATGAGCGTTAGAGACAGGGCCATAGGGATATGTTTTGGAGGTAGAAGTGACAGTTTCGTGGTAGGCTGGACGGTGGGGTATGAGATAAAAGGAATTAAGGATGACTTTTACTTGAAAGGAAAATGAAACCTAGAATTATTTTGGAATTACAAGAAAACGGTTTTTATGTTTACAGATGAGCATACAAAAGACCTTAGGGAAGAAGTTAAGGGGAATGAAGAAACACAGCTAATATGGCAGCTGCATAGTTAATGGTAATGAGTGTGCACTGGTTTACTATCAAGCACTGGATAGTATAAAGGTAAACGAATAGATTTTTGCCCTCTGCCCCCCACCCTAAGGACTTTGGGCAATTTCTGGAGACATTTTTGTTTGTTACAACTGGGGATGGTAGTGCACTAGTATCATCTGGTAGGTGGAGGCTAGAGATGCTGCTAAACATCCTATGAGGTACCAGACAACCTCCCACACAGAGGTTGAGAAGCCCTGGTACAACTGAAGGTGTAACTTGAACATGCCACTCTAGGTTATTGGCAAATGAAAGATCAATTTATGGATTATGTTTATGAAAGCCTAGTAAATAGCAGGTGCCTAATTTGTTCTCTTCCCACTCATGTCCATGGGGATTTGGAGCCCTGCAAGCCATGGCTAATTAATAAGTCATGATTGATAATCTGAATTTACTTAAACTCACATCTGACTTTTTAAGCTGATAGTCATATTAGCAATTGTTTTATGTGGTTTCTGACCTGTTCTCTACATGAGAGGTCAAAACTGGTAGTACCTCTATTGATAGTACCTCTGTGGAATCTGACCCGCAGACATGTTTTGTTTGGTATGCAGAGTGTTTTGTTAAAATTGAATATGCCAGTTAGCTTGAAGATTTCACATAAAAAGCCAGATTTCTGGCTTCTCTTGAAAAACAAAGAAGATATGGTAATACTGGGTCTGAATTCTCATATGGCAAAAACAGAACCTGTTGTGCTCTCTCTGCTCTGGGCTTGTTCTCTAGGTTTGACAGTCCCCACTTCTGTTTAATTATACCCAGCCTACTTCTATCATTTGTGGTGTTTATATTCACCATTCCTCCCCTTGATGAACAAGGGTCATTTGATTTCTTTGTGTAACAAATCTTGAATATAGCTCCTTTTCTTATAAAGTGGCATTGAGTTCAAGGTAAGACTGCTTTAGACTTATTCCCAAGTTTTGTCAGAAAGTTTTTTCCCCCTCTTAACACAGCTTTGTGAATGGTTTTCCTAGAGTAGGTATGGTGTACTGATCAGAGTCAGTTCATTCAGCAGAGAAGGTAACAGTGTAAATTCTAACTTCATTGAGGCCGAGGTGGATTTAACCTGATGTACCTCTTTAGTAGGACCTGGAAAATAAGCAAACAACTGAAACAGAACTCTGAAAAACAGGAGAACTTGGTGTTAAGATGGAGTTTATTGGGAGATAATGTTGTAAGGGAAACTTAGATTTATTGGTATAGATTTGGCTGTTATGTCATAAATAAATTCATATGTAAGTCCAATTAGAGTATGTATACACATGCTAAAACATTGTTATTTCTAGTGAAAAAATTGACTTGAAGACAATCAAAGAGGAAGATGGTGTTCTATTTGAAGATCTTCAAAATAATGAGAAGATGGGTGAAGGTGAGATAGAAGAGGAAGAGGAGGAGGAAGAGGAAGAGGAAGAAGATGATGATGATTGGGACTGGGATGATAGAGTTGGAAAACTCACCAAGGGTTATATCTCGACTGGAGGGAGTAACCCACAGGTATTTTATAAGTAATTCTGTACATCTTTATGTTGTTTGCTTATGTCTTCTTTTATAAATAGACTTTTTGTAGTTCTGGAATTGAGTAACAAAGATTTTCTCAGGTTATAATAAGTAAATTTTAAAAGTTATTTAGATTGTCGTAAGATAATGAACCTAAAAATCTGCTTGGGAAAGGACACAAACAGGCAGTTTTCTACAAATGGGTAAGAAACATGGAGAAAAAGTTCAACTTCATTAGAAATTAAAGAAATGCAGATTACATATATAGAGATGCCGTTTTTTCACCTCTGAAACTGACATAGACATAAAATATATAACTGATGGTTCACTAAATAGGTACAGTTATTTGGAGGATAAACTGGTATGTGACAAAAGCTTTAAAAGCTTACAAAGTAAACACTTTGACTCAGCAAGTCTTCTAGGCATGTACCAAAACTTAGTTACAAGAATGTTACCCCAGCATTGTTTCTAGTATAGGAATGTTGAAAACAACCTTGACTAAATTTACTGTGGGGTTGGGTCACACAATGGGATATCACTCAGCCATAAAATATGTTACAGTGGAATACTGTATTAATGACATGGAGATATGTTCATAATCTACCACCTTGGACCACGTGCAAAACACAAGTTCAAGCCATGTAGAGCCTGCTTCTCACACTGGAAGTACCAAGTGTTGCAGAGCCATAGGATTAACATGGTGCATCTTACTGGAACATAAAGGTTCTTGAAAGGATAGGGAGGGGGGGAAATCATAAATGTTTCTTTGAAAATTAAAACAGCTATATCGTGAACTAGAATGCATGCGTTTTTAAAATAACCAAAGAAGTTTCACACTTGTCTTATTTTGATAACTACTCCATTGATTCATTGGTAAGACATTGAGCAATTTCAACATAAGAGTGTAATTTCTTTTAATAATGCAAGGGGGGAAAAGTATATGTGCCTAAATGTTAACTATTATCTTTGAGTCCTAGGATTATAGATGATTAAAATTTTACCTGTGTTTTCTACTGTGAACATGTAATATTTTAACTTAAAATTTATTTTAAAAATTATATTTAATAGAAAAATTTAACAGCTTTATGCAAACAAGAAACAACTCAGCCTACAGATTCCAGTCTTAGATAGCAGGATTGAATCAGTAATTGTTACAGGCCCTTTTTTTATCTATACTCCGTTTTCTTATTTGTAGGTTCTGGATGTCATCTCCCTTTTTTTTTTTTTTCCATTTACGTTTCTGTATAGCACTAGTCTAAGTGCTCAGCCTCATTCTTAATCTTTCCTTTTCTTGAGATAGTAGGCCCAAAATGAAATTCTTAGAGCCAGTTTATTATTGGTCTTAGCTCTATATTATACACTTTGGGGGTAAATTAACATTCTCATTTAGATCTGTAACCAGTCAAATTAGAAAAATGCATTACATTTTAATTCATTTATAATAATGAGGAATACATTGTAAAGAGGTTTAAAAAACAAACAATCCCAGATTATGTAGACTCTTTGTTTTCGCCAGTAACTTGAACCTTCCATTTCAAATGCCTTTAAAAAAATTTCTTGAGCAAATTTCATTGATTCCTAGGGTACTCCTCTAAGTATTGATGTTTTAATCGTTAACTATGAACCAAGGGAAAAAAAACGTGATGGTGAACCTTAGGTTTGTATTTATAACTAGTGCCATATACTGTGGAACTCATTTCTTCTTAGGCAAATCGACAGCCTTCCAACTGCAATTCAGCCAAAATGTCTACTCCAGCAGACAAGGTCTTACGGAAATTTGAGAATAAAATTAATCTAGGTGAGTTTGTAAAATACATTTCTTGACTGGACTATGAGGAAATTCTTCCAAAACCATGAAGTGTTGTAAAAATTTTTTTAGCTCAAGAAATGAATATATTCAGTGTTACTGACTGGATAATGCTTAGAGAAAATAAAAACTTAGTAATTTAAAAGCATTGCTTCAAAAGAAGGACTTTAGCTTGTACCTTTTTAGTTCTGTTTTCTAGTCTACTGTGCAAATACGAAGTTACAGATACCCATTCAAGTATTGTCTATTTTGTATTAGATTTTGTAGTAGGTTTATCTCATAGGATATTGAAAATACTAGAATATTGGATATAATTACATTTTGTTTACCAGAGACTTTTTATGTAGACATTAATCATTTAGTGAGCTGCTGAATGTAAGGAATCAGAATGTGAATTTGAGCTGCCGCCTCGTGAGAAATACAAGGCCATCTTTCTCTTGTAGACATTGACTTGTTATAAACCTAGCAAGCATCTCATACCCAACTGTTGCCTATCATGGACCTATAATTTGAAATGACACTGAAGTTTTTAGAATTAAACTTGGAATTCAGGCAGTTATATTGTCTATATTGGTCCTACAAAACACTAAGTGACTGAAATTCAACATATGGAGATACAGTGCTTTTGAGGGGATTCTGGGTCTAGATTTCTATTGCTCAAAAATTTCAACTGTAGTGATGAAAGTGACACTTGTTATTAAGGAAACATGACTTAGTGTTTACCTTTAAAAACATTAAACAGTTTTTTAATTACTAAAATATATTCTATGTATAATAAAATATTTACAAAATAGAGAAGGTGGAGGGGTGAAGTATCCTGTTCAGAATGACTGTTAATGTCTTTCTGTCTTACATATTGTTCACATTGTGGATTTTTTCTATTTTTAGATAAGTTAAATGTTACTGATTCTGTCATAAATAAAGTCACCGAAAAGTCTAGACAAAAGGAAGCAGATATGTAAGTAATATTTTAACTATAAAACATGGCTGATAGGTACTAATTCTAAACAAATTTAGCACCTTGGTCATAATTCTTTTGCAAAGGATGGTTTGGGTTTTTTATATACGTAAACCTTTATTTTAAAGCTTAAATGAGAGTATTTTGTGCATGTGTAAGTTGAAAATATTAAATGAGTCTTATTAAGAAATATATGGTTAAACTATAATCTTACGAAATTCATGGATGTACTCTCAGGAGGAAAACAGTGTTTATAAATTTCTGTTTAAATGTTTAAACTGTTAAAAGGTTAAATCTTAGGCAGCGGTTTTCAACCTGTGGGTCGCGACCCCTTTGAGGGTTGAATGACCCTTTCACAGGGGTCGCCTAAGACCATCGGAAAACAAAAAGATATTTACATTACGATTCATAACAGTAGCAAAATTACAGTTATAGAGTAGCAATGAAAATAATTTTATGGTTGGGGGTCACCACAACATGAGGGACTGTATTAAGGGGTCGCGGCATTAGGAAGGTTGAGAACCACTGCTTAGAGCATAAAAATACTCCCTTTTTAGAATTCATTAAGAATTTTTCTGTTCCAGGATATATTTTTAAAATTTTAAGGGAAGATTTAAAACTAAATAACGATAAGACTGAGAACAATTTCTATTTACATCTCTGTTCTCAAAACCCATTTTTAAAGATCCGGCTAATTTCTATATGCTAATAGCTAAGATATTAACAATATATTATAGAAAATGACACTAAGATCATACAAGTAGCAATGTTAGAACTGAACTTAAAAACCAGTTTCCTTCTGGTTAAAAGCCAAATTTTTTATGGTTTATTGCTATGCCCAAGAGATACTAGCTTTTTGAGAAACCCTATGGTCATTTATTTCATTGAAGTGTTTGAATCTTTATTAGTTTAGGTTAGTGTACTAATTGAGTCAATTAGTGTATGAGCTGTAGCTAATCAGAGTCTGCATTTTAATACAAAACTCAATAACTGTCTTGAAGTGATGTCTTGTGTCTTTGTAGAAAAGGACCCTAAAGAGAAAGCCTTATAAATGACTTTAATTTTATACTAATAGAATCATTAAAGTTTTGAAAGACAGTATAGGCTCGATGTTTTCTTTTTTCCACATAGTTCACTTTATCCCCGCTATTCTTTTTATTTAATGCTTCTAAAATATGGATATGTTTTTTTGTTTGTTTTGTTTTGTTTTGTTTCCCCCTTGCTGCAAATATGTTCCTTTTGCCCTAGGGAACTGAATTGCTTATTAGGGGAAAACGAAAGAAGTTTCAGTGATTGATGAAGATACATTTAGATCATCGAAAATGTTACGAAAACTGCCTTCTTAGGAATTGAATAGAATAATGTACATTAGAAACTTTTTATTTTGGCTTCTCTGGGTGAACTTTGACTGTCACTTATACTATTTTGTTTTTGATTAGGTATCGCATCAAAGATAAGTCGGACAGAGCAACTGTAGAACAGGTACAATTTAAATGTGTTACAAGTTACTGTTTTAAAGTAGCATTTCTTTTTTCTTTGAATTGTAGTTTGCTTTTATCCTTCTCGCTTAATGCTAATGTTTCCTAAAATTACTCCTGTATAAAATTATTCCTTCTTATAGTTTTGAGTTTAGAGATCTACATTTTGCTTTTTTTTTTTT